CTTTTCAGGGAGGTCACAGCACAGGGTTGGCTATGCAGCAACAACCCACGAGCTGAAGGGGTCTCACACGGGGACACTATAGCAGGGTGGATGTTTGCTGATTCTGCCACTCTGCCTAAAGGACCATTCTCTGACCCTGTTGCCCAGAAATTATGTTTATATGTGACGGAATGTAATACTGCTTGCATCCCTGTGTGAGTGACTAGTGACTTCAGGGATGGCAATGTCGGTCTATCGGTCTGTCCACCACTTTAGTCCAGAGCGAAATATTGCAATCCCCAGTGTGTGAATCCTACTCACTTGTGTGATCCTTTGACTTTTCCACTAGCATAACAATGAGGTTGACATTTGTAGATTTGAGAGAAATATATTTACTATTGGATCGGCTGTCACAAAATTTGGTACACACGTTTGTGCACCTCCTGAGGATAGATTGTAATAACTTTCGTGACTGACTCTGACTTTCATCTATCAACATCCTGATCAGGTCAAAATTTCTATTTGTCCTGTCTGTAAGCTTGTTTAGCAAACATTAGCATGTTTTCATGCTAAACTAAGGTAAACATTTATGCCAGCTAAACATCAGCATGTTAGCACTATCCTTGCTAACATCAGCATGTTAGTCTGCTATCCAGTTAGCAGACTCATGTTAGCACCACTAACATGGCTGTAGACATTTGTTTATCAACATAATACAGAAACATTGTTAATTATAGCTACAAGCAGCATTGAACAGGCCCTCGCGCCATGGCACGAATTGGGGCGTGACAAAGCCTCAGCGTAGTGGCTGGAGATTGGGAAACAAAGCTCTAAATTTTCACCTAAGGAGTTAAATGTCACTTCCTGTGCTTCCTATGTGGAGCTAAAGAGCAACCGCAAATTATATGTAATGCCCCATTTCATCAAGTGTGGACTACACTGAGAAAATTTTAGGTAAATCAAATAATGATTGTGATTCAGAGATTACTTCCTGTTTCCAGTCTGTGGTACTATGTCATTGAGTGAATAATGTCATGTAGATATAACAGTCATCCAACATGCAACATTTGTTGCAGATCTAAGCATGTACACTGAAGCTATACCTTGGCAAAGATCAATTTTTGACACCACACCATAGTCAAGCCCTTTGACGAAAACTCACAGATAGCGCTTCTTTTAACTTTTAATTTACTAGGAGGAGTAAGTACAAAGCCTTTAATTACCATTAAATTAAATCCAACATACTGTTTGGATTAAGGCATCACTGCAAGATGCTTTTTTGGGTGTCTTGGAATGACAAATGTGCCACAAGAACTTGGTGCATCTTGGTAAAATGGGGTGAAGGGGCTGCTTCGATAAAGTGTCACTCCCTTTGGTACAGATTTGAGCATGTACAGTGAAAATTCAACACCACGCCACGGACATAACGTTAACTGAAAACTCAAGAGCTTCACAACATGTCATCACACTGTGTTAAGGCTTTTCTGGGACAGTTTTGAAGTTGATGTGGCCAACATGCAAGGAGAAGTCCATCACAGTTTGAAACTTGGCATTTCCTGTTGCCAGCAGGGGGCGCTATGATGTTGAGTGAATATTGGCTTACGTATGTGTGCAGGGCAGAACTCTTATCACAATGACATGCATTGTACATGGTACAGATGTGAGCATGTACGCTGAAGTTATAACAACTTTCTGGTTCATGGCGAATCATTGATTTTCGACACCCCGCTATGGACACACTCGTCTACGAAAACTCACCATTTTAACTTTTTATCGTCAGTGGGTTTAAACTGCACAGCAAAAATTTTAAGTTGATCAAACTAATTCTCTAGGAGGGGTTTGTTAATGTGCGGAGTGTGTGAATCACGAAAAATTACCATTAAATCCAAAGTGGGCAACTTCCTCTTCTATGTCGGGCGTTGCTTCAAGAGTATTTTTTGTTTGTGTTTAGGCATCTCAAAGCGTTTGGTTATGGTTGAGGAAAGTTTGTGGTCTTGGATGAATATCATGGGAAAGGTCATTTGCTTTGAATTCCAATTATCCACCTCGACCACCTTCCTTTTTTCTGTGGGGTACGAGAGTGTAGCACTTCATTCTCGCGGGAAAAAACACAATTCTGGCTGCAGTTAAATTTCCCTCAAAACTTATCTGGCAAAATACAATAGTACATAAATGTAATTTTAGGAGATTTGACTGCATCAGCTGATTCCATTGCCCAAGAAGAGACACAATTGTTACAGGAAAGCAACCACTGCAATGGTCACTGCAATGTATACGATTCTGGTGAAATGGTTTGTTGAACTGCATTTTAAGTTTGAAAAACACAGTTTGTTCTTGATAAATATACATCTCAGGCCTCAGCCTCATGCAATGGAAAAGGTATTTTATGATTTAAAACAGAACACAGTTAGATTCTCACCCTACCACCACTGTCAACTGGCATAAATAAAATGACTTGCACGTAGGATCCAAAAACAAAAAGAAGTAGTTTGACGCCCACAAAGCAAATACACTTTCAACTGGACCGTGTAATCCAGGCAGCTATTGGCATCTGTGTAAGTGGTGTCTTCATTGCTACCAGCTCCTGTGTCCGACACGCTCTCCTTTTGTTAGCTGCTGCACGGTTGATGTGGTGACCTCGCGAACCCTGGACTGATTGTTTCACGCGGGTAAGTGCCTCCTGATTGTGGGCAGAGCTGAGTGGTGATAATGCCTACCAGATTCTCCTCCTGTCATACACGCTGTGCATACATGCAGCAGCAGCAGCACGTAGGCTCACTTTTCAACACAGAAGCAAACCGACACACCGACCGCTCTTTGCTCTCCATCCTAACAGTAAACAGTTTAGTGATTCACTGATGCTTCTGAACGTTTTCAGATGGCGGAGGAAGGAGCGTCAACGCGCAGCTGACATGTTGACAAGAAAATGTTGAAACATGTCAAGTGTTTTCTAGTGTATTTATTTTGGAGGCTGCATTGGAGCAAACTCAACTCCCAATCAGTAACCCCGTGTTGTGCTAATATCATGCACTAAATGATTTAGACATTTATTTTGTAATTTTTTATAGTGAAGGACTTGATGGAGCATGAGGTCTTGTGTGTGTTGACCACAACATAAAACACACACATACACATACAGGACACACACTCAAGCATGAACCTCAGCAACCAATTTTACACCAGCCCTTCACCCTTCTTCCTCCCCCCTGTAACCTCAGCTTCCACTATGATGACTAGAGCTGTCAACAGATGGCCAATCCCACACGGGGAGTGTTGACCTAGTCAAAGATGTGAAAACAAACCAGGTGTCTCTCCTCTCCTCTCCTCTCCTCTCCTCTCCTCTTCTCACCTCTCTTCTCGTCCCTTCTCTCCTGCAGCTTCTTGAAAACTACTTTCCTGTAGTGATGAATCTAAATCAGTGGTGTCAGGGGCAGTACGAAAGCCTCTGTAAATGGTGAGGGACTCTCAAAGGTAGATGAACAAAGCACGTACATGCCAGTACACTGACTCTGTATATTGGGACCATATTTTCTCTCAGATATCCAAATCTAAAAAATATTTGGGTAATTGCAGGTAGAATTTCTCATTAAACCCATAGTTGGCTTCAATTTCAAAGCAAGCAGCAGTGTCAAAGTGAACCTTTGATCCAACTCTTCCTGACACAGATCAAGGAGACAATACTGTAGGACAATTTACAAAATATTATAGGAAACTATCTAGAAGACTTGTTACTTGAGATAATTAAAAACAATAAAGATAGTGGGCAGCGGTGCTGCAGTACCCCTACTTACTGTGGCTACGGGCATGTCACATTTCTAGCCACATTGCTACTTATTTGGACCTTTCATTCTCCTTGAGTAGTACTTGAGCAGGCAGATAACTTTCTAGTTTAAGTTTGTTTTTACCAGGCACATCACTAAATAATAAGCAGCACATTTCTCAAGTACATCATCATCTCACTAATTATCTGGGAACCCATATTCCCCCTGAGTATTGCCAAAGCCATGGAAACTTTGTACCAATAGGCAGATCCAAGGTCAGCGGTGGCCACTATTTTAGGCACATTTTATCATCTGAGGCATATCTGTGCACTCTGGGGCTTAACATTCACAAATCTAATGGAAACTCAGTTTGGGGGTCTGTTTATAGTAGAAGCTGCTGAGCACAGGAACAAAGATGGGGCAAGGGAATGGTCATGATGTCCTTTTTGACATGAAACATTATTACGGAAACAGAGGGTTTGAAAATAACTCTCCTTTGGCCTACTTTGATTTTTTTTGTTAATCTGCTAATGTGTTGCCTGTCTTTTACAGGGAAGCAGGGCTTGATTTCTAGAAAGCACCATGTCATTAAGGTTGCATTTTTCTTCAACAAGTGCCTCAGCACATATTTTATTAGTATGCCACTTAACTCTCAAAACCACTCACCAGTAGACAGATTGTGATGATAAACATGGTCACTCATAAGATAAAAAAACATTTTAGTAGAGTAACAGCTGCAGATAATCAATAGATTTTTTTAAAAACTGTCTGCTCTTTCTGTGGACAGTCAGTTGAGTCTCATGCCTTGAATCTGCTAAGTGATGCTAACCATAGAGGCAGATATCTTACACAGGATTCCCCTGTAGGAAGTCCAGTGACACATACAACCAGATCGGGTTGAGGCCTGTGTGTGGCCTGCAGTATCTCTGGGAATTCACACATGCTACATAAACACTGTTGTATTAAGTTTCATTTGTAAAGCTTTTATTGCCTGTTGCTGGACAGAAAGATACTCAGATATAGTCACATATACTATACTATAGTAGACTAAGAGGCACACATTCACAATACAAATTCTTGGAACAAACCTGCACACACTTACATTCACACTCACATTCACATAGACACACGCACCTGCCCGTCTCATCGTTAATCCTGGCCATCATCCTGATCTTTTCTTCCCTTCCTTGCACTATTTTTCTTTTCTTTCTCAGTTTCCATTGAAGCCACCTCTCAACCATCTGCTCTTCTATTCAGCAGGGTCTTCGGCCCCAGGCCTGGCACCGGAGGTCAGAGTGTGTGTGTGTCAGTGGACAATGACCCAGCCGGACAAACCCCCCACACACACTTCAAACACAACTCACTGAGACCTTACACCGCGACCAGACCATTGGCATCTTTCAAGACGGGTATTAGGTGCATGGAGAGGTGAGAGGGGAGGATGGAATTTATGTGTGTGTGTGTTTGAATGTGTATTAAGTGTTTGCGTGTGTCTCCCTATGAGCTTTGTCTGTTCACATTCACATATCTATCCATCATTTTTTCATACACAAGAGGATCAGGTCCCTAAAAGCAGCACAGATGAGCATCTGATCAATATAAACAGTCCAGAAGTGTTAACGTCTGCTCGTCTCCCATGAGTAATTCAAGCCTTCACTCTCATTGAGTTCTAAAGGAAAGATCATTATGGGTGGCTGAGCTGTAAAACACTTAAGAGGTTTTTTTTTTTTTTTGTGTGTTTCTTCATGGCTCAGTAGTGGACAAATCTACCATTTCCAGACTTTTTGCCATGCTTCATCTCATGCTCCTCATTTGACTTTGCATCGATGTGCACCATGTAGACCATCCTGCTGCCATAAATGCTAACTAAGGCGTCAAATGTGTATTAATCCACGGCTGAAAATAGTCTATAAAATGTCGCTTGCACAAATTTTTATAATTTTTATGAAATTTGTTTTTTGTTTTGAAACTTGCTTGAAACCATGTATTTGTTATTAATTTTAGCTGCAGATTCAGGTGATAATTCTCTGTAAGTTCATCACATATTTCACATTGGCACATTGTTATCCCATTGTCATTTGATGCATTATTATAAAAAATACCTATTATAGTTGCTTTAAAGATTTGTTTAGTAGGATTGGGGCTGCGAGCCACAGACAGGATAGTAAGACAGAAAGTATTGAAAAAGGTAAAATTGTTAAAAATATTGTTAGAAACGAGAAACAATTACACCAGTCATATAATTTAAGCTGGTATGATGGCATATACACATTAACATGTTAGACACCAAAGTCCAACGCTAACAGCACATTGGGATTCTCCTTATGTCCATTTTAGATGATGAAACACTCAAAAACAAACTGACACTTCTGCTAAATGACGGGCTTGAATCCTTGCTTAATTTGCATTCACTAATAATACGATTTTTATTTGTATAACACTTTTCAATACAGGTAACATGTAATATGTAATATGTAATATGTAAAACATAGTCAGTAAGTCAAATAAAAATAAAGAAAAACTAAATATGCGTCACACAGTGAAAGATTTTTTGTAGAAGTGTGTCTTAAGAAGTGACTTGAAACCAGTAACAGACTCTGAGCCTGATCTTCTTTGGTAAACTGTTCTACTGTAGAGACCCTAACAGCAAAGGCCCTGTTTCCTTTGGTTTTTAGCCTAGACCTTGGAATAGCAAGCCGTGCCCAACCAGAGGGTGATAAAAGCTCAGAGATATACAAAGATTCCAGCCCGTGCCTGGCCTTAAAAGTAATCACAATCATTTTTAAAATCAATCCTAAAAGAAACAGGCAGCCAGTGCAAGGATGCTAAAACTAGGGTGATATGGTCACGTTTTTTTCAACGAGTTAAAAGCTTAGCTGCAGCATATTGGACTAATAGGCAATGAATTGATTTCTGACTGAGACAGGTATACAATACAATGACAGAAGTTATGGTCAATATAGTTAAAGTCAGTAGTTGAGGTGAGGGGAGATAAAAGCATGGATGAGTTTCGACAGATCTATGGCAGAAATAAAAGACTTAACCTTGGCTATAAAACTAACCCCAGATTTCTAGCTGCGGTCTTAGCATATGTTACTAGTTCACCTAGGTTTGTTATGATTTGAATTCTATCAGTTGGGAGACTCAGTACAATAACATCAGATCTTGTCAGATTTAATTGTAAAAATTTGCAAGACATCCAATGCTTTATTTCAGCAAACCATTTGTAAAGGATTGCAATGTTAGAGTGGTCACTGAGTCTGATTTAGAGCTGTGTGTCGTCGTACATGTATGTGTACATGTTTTTGTGGATGATGACCAAGGGGGAGAATATATATGGAGAATAGAATCTGACCTAGGACTGAACCCCAAGGGACGCCACGCAGCATGTTTGTAGGGGATTAAACTGAGCCAGACATAGTCACGGAGAAACATATGTTAGACAGGTAGGACCTGAACCAGTTTAAGGCCATGTCAGTGATATCCGACCTCCTTTCCAGTCTGTTGATCAGCAGGTTGTGATTAGCTGTGTCATATGCAGCGCTGGGGTCCAAAAGAACTAGAACGGAGCACTCACCAGCATCTTCAATTAACAGAAGGTCATTACAGACTCTGAGAAGAGCAGTCTCAGTCCTATGGAGCAATCGGAAGCCAGACTTGAACATTTAAAAAAAGTTATTGTCTGACAGATGTGCCACTAATGGTTTGAAAATAGCTTTTCTAGGAATTTTTGAAACAGGTCTCTAATTATTCAAGATGGGGGGATCTATTTTTTTTTCAGGAGAGGTTTAACTAGAGCAGTTTTAAAACAAACAAGGACGGAGCCAGAGGTCAGGGAGCTATTTACAATAGTCAAGATGAAAGCAGGTAAAGTCTTCTTCAGTAGTCTGGAAGGGACCACATCCAGGGGGCAAGTAAATAACTGTGTATGGTTAACCATATCATTGAGGGTGTAAAGAGACATTTATTTAAAGGAAGTGAAGGATACAACATCACATGATCTGTGGGTTTAAAGACTCTGGGACAGATTGGTTCAGGGGCCAGCTGGGATCTGATGATTTAAATTTCTTGAGTAAAAAAAACTGCTCACAGAGGCCAGATGATACAAGCAAGTTAGTGGAGAGGCACCAAAGATCCAGTTTTGTGTTTAAAACAATACTTTTGGGGTTTGGGCATTCTGAGCGATCAAGGTGGAAAAGGGTCTTGCACATCTTTAACTGCAGCATTGTATTTGTTCATTAAGGTGTTCATGTTCTCACATTAAACAGTGTGCTGGCCTTCCATTTGTGCAAATGGCTCTATGATGAACTTGGAACATGGTATATTTTATGGTATTTCTGCTATCTGTCATATTAGCGTGGGGAATTCTGAATGGAGTGTCACATATCAAATGTTAAACCTCCACAGGATGCTTACTGACTTACAGTGAATAAAGACAGATTCTTTAGTGAGCTGATGACATTGATGCCATACATTATCTTCAGATAGTTGCCACTTTACTTTAAAGATATAGACATGAATCTCCATTGCTCACTGGCTAAGTCGTAACATTAAATCAATATTGTCCATGTCGGCAAGAATAACAGCTGTAAAGCCCCTCATATTTCATACTTCCTCACTATCAGAGAATAGTTTTTTTAGCTCAGGGATCAAGAAGAAACCTATGACCAACCTGTGCCACCGTTTCAAAAGAAAGCGACATGTGGAGTTTGATCTGTCACGTCACATTCACTGTGAGGATTTATAACTCTTGTCCATCTGGGAACCATCATACTGAGACTTCAATGGGCGGGTAAAGTTCTCATCTTGTTATCCCTCCGTCTAGAGAGAAGAAGAAAGAGGAGGAGGGGGCGAGAGAAAGTCCTGTCATGTTTTCACAGACGGGTCATAAATTGGCGATACTGAGAGGAGGGGACACATAATACCAGTTCATGGGTCTCCAGTAAAAAGCTGAGTGGCCAAAAATGGTTTGAATAGCAGCCAGTTTTTTGTCTCAAAATGAAGCTCAACTCAACGCCCAACATGAAAATATTTATTGTATTAGATAATGTGAATGAGATAAACTTTAGGATTAAAAGGGGGGATGTTTACACCAAAGTGTAACATGATTAAGTCTTTCAGTCTTTATATTTATTACAGAAGGCTTGTTTTGAAGTTCAGGACCTCTTAGCTATAATGGAACCAGTTTTGTCACATTATTCTTTGTTGTTTCTACAGTCTGATTAATGGTTGGTCATTTCAAAGATATTGTATTCTATTATGTCTGTATTTTTGCAGCAGTTTAAAGAGCCCATCGTGAAACAGCCCATCCCAAGAGAAGCACTGATGTTAGAGATAGTTCAGTCAGAGATTGAGCAATTATTTAAGCAACATCTGTGTATATTCCTGACTTCTCAAGAACTGGATGATTGTTCAGGCTAATTTCTCTGCGATGGAGTAGACACACAAAACAGGCAAGATTATTTTCAGTTATTTTCTCTTTTAATGCAGATGCTGGTAATGAAAAATTTAAAGCTTTGAGCAAAAGTGCAAGGAATGGATTAAACGGTGTTTGTCATGTTTGTTCATTCTCAGCCAAACTCCTATAGCAAACTTTGTCTGCCGAGGAAGATTTTATTATATGATCGAAAGCTCTAGAACAGCTACAAAATGGACTTGTGAATGGATCTTGAATGGATCTTAACAACTACTGTATGCAAGGTAAGGTCACAGATGAATTTACAATCTCATGATGTTGCTGGTTTCCAAAGGGACACTTTGAAGCCAAGGACGCTTGAGTTTTAAAAATAAAAATTTGGTTGGGGTTTAGGAACAATCAACACAGCTGAGTGTGATTATTACTGAGTCAAACATGCCCTGAAACACACACCTCTTTAAGTCTTAAAGCCCCACATTAACTAATTATTTTCAAACTGCCCTCCAAGACTACAAATTTTAATTGTGTAACGGTTTTGTATTTCCAGAAAGAAGATGTGGGGTTTCACATTGAATTTAATTACTTAGACTGAGGAATGAACCATTTGCATTTTTTAAGTGGTGGTGATGGGGCAGTGGATAAGATGCGTGCCTTTGGTGTGAGAGACCCAAGTTCAACTCCCCATTGTGACGTGTCCACCACGTCCTGAGCAAGACACTTAACCCCTAGTTGCTCCAGAGGCGTGCAACCTCTGACATAAATAGCAATTGTGAGTCACTTTGGAAGAAAGCATCAGTAAATGTAATGTAACGTGTTGTGGGTGCTCCCTTAATAAACATGAACATTCAATATTATTTAAATGAACAGAGCTAAAAATATTGCACATAAGGTGGAGGTTGAGGTTGTGGAGGGAGCTGCATCAGCAAACAATGGCATGGCCATCTCAGCAGAGAAATAATGTAGGTTCCATTACTTGAATTTCCATCCACCTGTCTTATGAGTCTTATTTTAATTTGTGAAAAAAAAAGACGCAGAAAATAAAAAATCAAAACTTGAAATATTGCCAATATATATAATATGCATGGCTGATGTGGAAAAGTAGGTGTATCAATAAAAACAAAATGCGACAAAGTGCAAAGGAAACAGAGGGGAAGAAATCATGAGGTACATGAAGCATGTGACTTAAACACTTCAAGCTTCCAATGGAAAGATCTGATCTGTGTAGAGCGATGAGGAGACTGTAACATTCCTCAAATTAATACATGAAACAAACATAAATGCCATATTTCCATCACGTTTTCCACATACTTGTTTAAGGTTTGGCTGGCACTCTTTTATATTCTTTCTCTGGAGAATAAGAATTAACACCAACAGCAAGTGGTTTTCATAGGGGTGGCCAGATGGTGGGCGGAGTGTGACAGTCAAAAGCGGCTTGCTGGCTAGGCATGCAATCGTATCATGGGGGCCACGGCTTGATGGCTTGACACTAGCCACAAAGCTGTGAACAAGCCAATGACTGTGAAGCATGAATGAAACAGCTGATCAATCAGTGGGACTCCAGTGAGCTGCCTGCACTAAAGCTATGCTTCCTTACAGCCAGAGATTTTGCTGTAGCCACATACTAGCGGCCATTAGAAGAAGGGCATCATCAAGCGTGTCTGTAATGGTATTAACACTCACACCTGGTGGTTACTGCATGTGCCATCAAGGAGAGTAAATGTTAATACATTGTTTTACTCTACCTGCAGTCATAAGCCATACAACATAACAGCATCTAGTCTTGAAAGTCCACAATAATAATCATCACTGGGTCTACATATATATAACCTTGGTCAAGCCAAAATCACTGAAAGCAGAAAATACACAGAGTGCAAGATTTCTAAGGTGGTTTGATAATAAACCTGCTGGTGCGTGTGTGGATATATATGTTACATGCCTTCATACAGACCAGTGTGTATGGGGTTTTGTGTGTGTGTGTGTGTGTGTGTGTGTGTGTGTGTGTGAGTGAATGTGTTTGTATGGCTGTCTGCAGATAACCAGTCTGGCTGCCCTGACTGGGTGCACTTTAATCTCTCTCTCTCTCTAGAATATGTTGTGAGGACGGCTGCTGAGTTCCCCGACAGTAGATCCTATCGACTCTCCCTGCTGGGTTTTCTCTGCTGACGGGGAGAACAGGCTCTAATGCTCTGAAAACAAGCCTGCTGTGGTAGACGCAGACGGATAGAATAAATGACTGGTAACATTAGAAGAGGTAAAGAACAGTGTTGAGGAGGGGGAAAAAATTCAAAGAGATGTGGGGTGAGAGTGAAGACAAGGGAAATGACCAAAATGGCAGAAAGTGAGAAGTAGAACAGCTTGTCATGAAATCGCAAACAATAATACACAATAGTCTTGTCCTGACATTTATCTGAATGAGATGTTTGACACAAATGTACTGAAAGGTGATCTAAAACTAATGCTCCTATTTTCTATAACTTAATTTGTATTTAAAGCAATTAAATTCCCAAGAGACCAGTTTAAAAAGAAGACATACATTCATACATTTTGGACTATTCTGTCAAACACAGGTCGATCCAGTGCCAGTGTTCAGTGCCAAGTAGGAACTAGTATGATGTTCATATAGCATCATTAGTAAAAAATTAGGCATGTAGAGGGACGCCTCCTTAGCTTTAACAGCAGAGTCAGTGTTGGCTTTTGTTTTGTTTAACCATGGTAACTGTCCCTAATTTTAACCAATCAACACACCACAGGTCTGTTTGGCGGGTGGAATGGAATAAAAAACCTCTTCAGAAACAGGCTTTCTCTGTTTAACACAGGATTATGTTGGCTGTCGAAGCACAAACGCTCTGTCAAGTATTGTAGCTTTAGCAGTTTAAGAAGAGAAAGTACTGCCTGCCTCCCAACCTGCCAAAGTGTAAGTTCTGGCCAGACTGGGAGCAGTGAGTAGGACTCGCTGTCCAATCTGCCAGGGTCGTGACCTCAGCTCCGTCCCATTACTCTGAGAATCTCATCCCTGCCTGGCATCAACTCTGGCCTCGTTCCACAGCACTGCTCAACTTGTTTGTGTGTTGATCATGAGGTGCAGAGAAGCCAGCATGTTGATGTGTGCGGTGTTTAAATAAAAGTTATGTCAACTGATTTGTTCCTGATGTGCCAGACATACATCCCAGAGCCCATAAGTAATTTACATTACAAAGACAGCAACCTTTCTCATTTGACTGCACAGATTTTACACAGTGAATTGCCTCGGAGCAGAACAAACTACGGACTTAGCAAAGAGTACACTTAAGAAAATAATGCTGTTGCAGAGTTGTTACTATCAAAGCTAGAGCTGGAGAATGTGTGTGAGCCAAATCGACTTTAAGGCTGAAAAGCTCAACAGAGGAGTATGTTCTTCAAAACTCTGCCATGTAACCTGGTGTTTTCAGTTAATTCTCTGTTCTCTCTGAGTCCTCTTGGCCTCTTTCAGCTTTGGCTTCAGACAAACTCTGGGAAATTAAACTTGTCAATTTGAAACGGACCCCTCAATCACGCATCACCTCTGGACTGTTGAAGGGGGAGGGCTGTACAGCAGCCACCATTTATATGTCTGCTCTACCAAGACTCTTAGAGGTGAAGTCATGAAAACTGTCACATCCAGATGATGTCTGCATGTGCTGCCAGTGGCACAAAATGAGAACACCCAAAAACTTTGTATGTGTCATCATGCTCATTCATCTGCACGCAATTGTAGACAATCTTATTGATCTAGGAAATAATACAAATTGCATTGCAAACCACCAACTTATTATTCTTTAATTTAAACTTTATTTCTTTTATTTCAAACACCTTTCATGCTCTCTTTGCATTCCTGGAAACTTTTCTGTTCCCAGTCTGAATCCAACTATTCAATTATTGAGTTTTTTTACACTGTTGATTGGTAATTTTTTTGTTGATGCAGTGATTGTTTGGGGTCAGTATTTTCTCATACTGTTGGCCAACATTTTCTTGAACTTCATACTGTTCACTCAACTATTTCCTGAGCAAAAACCCTCTGTTCTCAATCGTGTGCTCCCACAAATGCCAACCTTTAGTGTACTAAATGATAAACCTGATTAATAAAACATTAAAAGGATGGATTTCAGAATTAACATTAACATTAACCATATTTAAGAATTCCTGGGTATTTTATGAACATTTAAGTGTAGTTTTGTCCCAAGCCCTTGTTCTCATCCAGGAGCAGCCTTTAAATACAGCAGACACACACACTCATTTACAGAAACACATTCATGTGGTTTGACCACACGTCCGCGGTCAATAAGCACTCATGGTACATCCCATCCAATTAGAGTTTGAGTTGTGATGAGCATCCCTGCATATGGCCTCCTGCTCACAGCATTTACACGAAAGGCGGAGCAGACAATTGCTTATCATTAAAAAACACAAAGTCTCACACACTTGAACGTGGCATCAAAGGGCACCAGCACTAAAGTCCGCCCCGTCTTTTCTCAGCATTCCATAATGTATACAGTAAACACATGTTCGGCCCCATACAGAGGCTGAAACCATGGCAACAGGGTCAGATACAAAACATGCTCTTGACAAATATATGAAAGACAAGACGGATTCAATGTGCTTGTCAGGCAGGAAACGAGGAGCGAGGAGGAGGAGAGCAGAGGAGGAGGCGCCCGTTTTTTGCCTTTGTTTGGAAAAGCATCTATTGAGTGGCATTTGGTGTCATGCCAGATTCTCTCCTCCACAGACGGGCACAAAGTAAACTGGATTAGTCACTGAGAGCCCTTTCTCCCAAAACTGACAGCCAAGGAGAGCTGAAAACTTCAAATACATTCAGAACGTTTCTACCTAAAAACCAGACGCTTATTCAAATGGAAATGCCTTTATCATCACTCTCTGCCAGCATCCGTAGCTTTCTGACTATATGTGCTGTACATGTGAATGGGGAATGCAGGATTAAAATGGTCAAGAGGCGGACTCAATAAGGAGCTCTCTCCAAGTTTTGTTCAGCCTAGACCTCTTTGGTCTTTAATCATTGTTTCTTTTAGACTGCTACAAGACTGCTGCACTCTCAGTGCTCATATAAGGTTGTGCTATTATTTGTATTTTACTCATTTAAATGGTTGTATAGTGTGTGCCTGCAGCATTTCCTGTCATGGTGGTGTTGTGTCAATTGAGTGTTTCTTATTATCTATCAGTGGTGCTTGTTTCAAAGCTATCAATATGTTTTTATAGTTATGTTGTACTTAATCACTAACCATAGTATATGCACATAAAGTCCAAATGACATTTGAAAATGTCTGTTATGTCTACCTTTTTACCACAGAAATTGCTTGTCCCATGTGTGTAGTGGCAAATGAGAATTATTCAAAGTTTCACTCAATGTTTCATTTCTACAGTAGCCATAGCTGTTGTTATTGAGTACCTTTTAAAGAGACGATATGATTTATTATTTATTTACTTGCTAAAGTGCTGTCCAAAATGACGATGATAAATGAAAAACATGACTAAGAGTCTATAGCCATGGAACTGTAATGCTGTAATAATAATATTCATAATCATCACAAAGTGCTTCACAAAGGCAGAAAAATAAAACACACAAGTCAAATTTAAAACAATTCTGTCAATCCTGTTGAGGGGGACATGAATCTATGTATCAAATTTCTTGGCAATCCATACAGTAGTTCCAACCTCATGGTGTCACAAGGTTGGTGTCATTACAGTTTTTTTCACTTGCTAACCTGTGTTGGTCAAAACTGAAGTCACATTGTCAAAATTCTTCACACAGTCAGCGCAACAGAAGTGTATGTGGACCAAACTGTGAATCATTTTTCATTGCTTTCACACAAAATGCATTCAATGACCCCTTTCTCCAAAATTCATGAACTCTTTTCACATTACTACTTCACCACCTGCAAAACACTGTCTATCTGCAGCACAATTTTCAAATGCTAACACACTGTGTACAAAACTGTTACAGTTATTCTCATTTGCAAAGACACACTAAATGAAACTGGGATCCGCTTGATCTTGATCATCATATTATTAGCACAGCAGAAGTCTTCTGTCACACATGTTTTAACACTTTTTCATTTGTTTCACACATTTTTCACACCCTTTGTCACAACAGTTACCACAGATCCTATTGAAACACCCCGAACTCTATTGGATTCACTGTGTTGAACAAAAGCAAAACATCTAATCACAGCTGATAGAAAGTACTTGCATAATTATAAATCTCTATGCACCTGTGTGAAACTCATTTCCTCATATCCTATATAAGCTATGTTTGATCTACAGAAAGACAGAGTGGCCATCGGGCTGGGTCACTCTCCAAGCTGCTGCAGAGCTTGTAATTGATGCTGAACTCCTTGATGTAATAAACTTTTATGATCAAGAACAGTGTCAAGCGGATTTCTTCTCAACACATCATCGCAGAATTATTGTTCGGACACCACACAAGCATGGATCAAAGAGGCCATAGGCACAGAAGGAGAGCAAGAGGCCATGGCAGAGGGGCCCAAGGAAGAGGAGTTTGTATGCGTGGTGGAGGAGCTGCAGCAGCAAGAGGACAAAATCGAACTCAAGTTTCAAATGAAATTCGGGCAACAACTATTGACCATGTCATCAATCGTGGCTTGTCCTTTAGAGAGTTTGGACATAGTGTTCAGCCCATTTTGAGTTGTAGCACTGTGGCATCAATTGTCAGGCTTTTTCAGAATGAGAACAGGTAATTCACAGTGTTACTGTAATGTATACCACTGTGTATTTCAGCTTTACTGTATTGCCCTGTTAGCAGAACAAACTGTGTCTACAGTAATGCAGATGTTTTATCAATCCCATTTATGTAACTGTCATACAGTAATGTCAATTTTGACATGCTTTTTGCTTTTACTTTATAGATTACACACATTACCACACACTGGTGGCAGAGGAAAGACATTTAGTATTGAACAGGAGTCTGCCATTGTAGATATGGTAGTGGCAAACAATGCAATCAAACTGCGTGAAATCCAGCCAGCAGTAATTGCAGATCAGGGAGCATTTAGAAATATAAACAGTGAGAGTTTGGCAACTGTAGATCGAGTCATTAAACAAAACCATGTCAGAATGAAGCAACTGTACAGAGTTCCATTTCAAAGAAACTCTCACATCGTAAAGGAGGCACAATCCAAGTATGCGCAGGTACAGATTTTTTATTGTAATACCTTGTTTACAATAGTTACATGCGACTGGAATAATTTGCTTTATGAATTTGCTCTTTTTCTTAGAGAATAATGGAGCTTGAAGCTGAAGGGGCACATCACAAATTCATTTTTGTGGATGAAGCCAGCTTCAACCTCTGTAAAGTGAGGAGACGCGGGAGGAACATCATTGGGCAGAGGGCACAATGCCAGGTCAGAGGGGTGCCAATATCACCATGTGTGCTGCCATCTCCAATGATGGGGTCCTTTGCCACATACCAACTACTGGCCCATACAATACAGAACACCTCATCACATTTCTTGATGCATTGAAAGAAATACTGATTCCACCCGAAGAGAGAAGGCTGTTGAGGTCTGGCATGACTCCGTATGTCATAATTTGGGACAATGTGGCTTTCCACAGAGACACCTCTCCTGAAGACTGCCAGGGTTGGATTAGACATTCCAGAAGATACTTTCCAAGATGCATCGCCAGGGAAGACATAAGATGTGATGTTGATGAGAACTTGTGGCCAAATGAAGCAGAGAGGGAGGACTAGCACCCTCAAGTACTGTACATTATGAGTTTTTCAGGTGTTTCTTATTTGTATTACTGTTTGCAGCCCTGGAATTCCAGAAATTTGTGTGTGTGTGTGGGGGGGGGGGGGGGTTTGTTTCAACTTACAGTAACATTTTTCACAGTTTACTATGCTATCCACAGATATAGAACAAATAAAGGATATTGAAGCAAATTGCTGTATTTCTGATGCATTCTTGTTACATATACTTTAGTACCGTCAAAGTGAAAATATGTTATTGTTATTGTATAATGAAAAGCTAATTTTTTCGCTCACACTTCAAAGATAAAAGTTCTTCATTTATGTAATGCTCCCTCTTTTTAGTGTTTTGTAGATCAGTGTGTTATGAGTGAGACTGTATGCTTTCTAAATGAGAATTGTTGCCAGGGTTTTGGTTGAACGAGTCTATTTTGAGATTTGTACGAAGTGTTTTGGTGGTTTGCGTGACTTTTGGAGGTCAGATTAACTGTTTGGCCAAGATGCATGTTGGTAATGCAGACTGTGTGAAGAGTTTTGAAAAAGTGGCTTCAGTTG